ACTTCAAGCTGAGTTCCGATGTCAATTGAAGTGTAATATTCTTTTTAAAAAGTACATCTAAAAGGTAAGCACGTAGATTTCGAATCAGGCCTGAGGACCGTTAAATTAAAAATAAATATTGTGAAACGTCAGTATGTTACGAGCGGCTGCCGGAAAATATCGGGGGAAAATACGTAAAACGGACTTCGTTTCGGGGAGGCTCGGGGAAGGTGAATCTTTTTGTGAAGTGGAGAGAATTAATTTAACCCGCTGCGGGGTAACACGACATAGCGGTAATTGAAAAGTTTGCCCCTTGTCGGATGGTGGCGCGATCGCCCGCCGTCGCGTCTGTGACAATTCTTTGAAACAATTCCTGTTAAATATATCATGGATTGTCATAACTAATAGATGTATTTTACAATACCAAGAATATCAACTAACACTTCCTTTTAAAGTTTAAATTGTATTTGTTTATTATTTCGCAAAACGCTAAGCCAAAAGCCAATGCTGTATACAATTTAAATGATTCTTCTTACGTATGGAAAAGTGTATCCTAATGATTGTTAATATTAATCTTATTTATAAAATAAGCATTATTATGTATTACTACTAATATTTTATTTTAATTTATTTGAATAACAATCAATTGAAGTTTTAGTATTAACATAAGTCGGATTAATGACATCGAAACTAATCAAAGGCAACAATGAAGTTAAAAAGAGATTTTTTAACCCTTTTAAAGTCGTGAATATTATAAAAGTGTCAGCAACTCGACAAGAAGCCTCCGCGACCTTATCGATTTAAAATTAATTCCGTAAAGTTAAATTGAGGATTACGTTTATTTGATCTCGTGAAACGGCGGTCGTGTAAATTTTGTCTATTATACATATAAAAGGACATTTTATTATGTCATGTTAATTATTATTATTATCTAGTTTTGAATTTGAATTTCCATGGCAAAGAATTTTTACGTAACATATTTTATTTACGCTCTCTTGCCCTTAATTTGTGTCACTAATCTACTATTAAACATATTATCTATCAACTGCCAAAAAATAAAATGACATTAGGTATCATATTGTGAGAAATTAATTACAAAACACAAAATAACGTTTTAACTAAAGATATAAGTTACTTAAGAGCTTTATCGACAATCATGTACCCAATAATTAAGTAATTTTTACTCTCTCGATCTGGACCTAAATTACATATTAATTAAAAAAAACATAAAAGTTATTCAGAATTATAAATATGTACATCATTCTACACGATTTAATATCTTTAATGTATTGTCCAAAAAACTATTGAAACTCGTATATTTCATACGAATATTGAAAAGCGATGAAAACATCCGCACATTGTCGATATTCGTTTGACTATAGTTGATTTCCTACTTGTTTGATTTGGAATATTGAAGTTAGTTGATTGGACTACGTACCCGTACAAAGTGAAATTTCACATAGCTTTGCATAGATACGATATTCGTATGTTTTCAAATCTCTAAAGACTAAATTCATTGACATCGGAAAACAGACGATTAGAAAAGATATTAAAATGACAATTTTTTATCATAATGAGATCTGAGATTTTCCAAGTCATTTAAATGACATACTACCGACGTTTCGGTTACTTTACAGCAACCGTGATCACGGGCAGACGAGATGTGAGTATGTAATTTTTATAAAAATAAACTTGTGTAGTATATCAGCAAAATATTAGTTTCATTTAATTTTTAATCAAAATATGGATCGTTAAGTTTTATTTTATTTTTTTATTAAGTATCCCTGTTCTATTAAATTTTGCCATAATAAATGCTATATCTCATTTCATATTCTGTGGTTGCGGCTTTAAAGCGAGCTAGCCGAAGTGGTAGATGAATAATATATAACTTCTTACTTGTTTCCAGACTTTAGTTACTCTTGATTTCGCTTTTTGATTGTGAACAATGAACTTTATTACTTGTAAGCATTTTTCCCGATTCAGCTTTGTCGGTATACATTACAATTAACAACGGTTGGATATAAATTGACTATATTAATTAAATACGTCCTGAAGCTGGGGAAATAAGTATTACCAAATATACTAGTTTTTGTAATATTTCTAAATATACTAGTTTTTGCCTGTGACTTTGTTTTCACAAGTTTTAGATTTGAAATGTGTAGTTGACCAGGCAAACTCTATTGCTCCCTAATGACAGTATATTAGAAGATTTTAGGTTTGAACTTCTTATTTATTTTACTTTTTCAATTGAATCAAAAGTATTCTATGTCATTTCCCTTGTTCTAAGCTATCTCCATAAATTTTCAGCCGAACCCATACAGCCGTTTTTCACGACTTTCTTTCATATAGGTATAAAAGATAAAAGATACATATAATATCATTAAAATATTAACCTATAGAGGATTATCGTGAACTCGTGTTGTATGTAGCGTGATCGTCTGCGGCGTGCAAGTTTCGTGAGGGCGTATAATTACAAAGGAGTAAACATATAAGGGTAATCCGGGTCGCGGCACAAAGTGATGCTGAGAATAATTTAGAACCACCTGCGGTAACACCGCACCTGCTTTATACTGGATATACTATACGAACAGGGTTGATATAGTAACATTTCTTTATATAAACATAGTATAATATATTATTAATTAACATACATATAGTACAATATCTTATATTAAAGTGTAGAAGAGATAGTGAATTTAGCGATAAAGAAATATTATATCATATTTTAATGAAGATTTTGAATCTATAATTATAAGTAATAATATCTGTTTAAATTATTGTTAACCTATGTTATTTTATTGAGTTGTGTTATGTTGGTAATGCTTGTTTAGTGATGGTCATATATATAATATGTTGGCAGCCCTGCTTTAAGTATGTTATTAACATAGAGTACTCAAAAGCTTCGCGACAAGAGACGTCGCCCGACTTGCGACCGACATGGCGTCGTATGAATATTCAATTCGCCCGAAATTTCCCTTAATTACAGAGATTTAGATTTACTTTAAATCATATGATTATTGTTGCTGTAATAATATTATTAATGTGAATTATTTAACACTGTGGAAATATAGTTTACGATTTTACTGTAAATTTTAGCCGAAATAAATAGGAGTGGAAATATTTGGTCCTTTTTCTGCTATCTTTATAAATGAGATAGTTAATATATGTGTTATTTAAACAGTAAATGTATCGCAGTATAAATTAAATAGTAATATTGTTAATGTAAAGAGAGTCTAAAATTAAAAACTATTGCTCGACCTATTCTACTTAAAAAGATACCATTTTTGTACAATAATTTTTAAATAGGAAAATATAACTCTATTCCCAGAATTTCTGTACGATTGCTATTTATATGACAACATTAACTGATAAATATATATTTCTTATAATATTAACTAAAAATATACTCACAATCTTGAAATTCTCAGAAACAAATCATATTAAGCGTTTATAATAGATATTTTATCTAATACTAAAAATAACTATTCCTTATATAAAATTTGATGTAATGGAGCGTTCACGTTAACAATAAATAAAGGTGACAATAACCGCACACTATATTGAACACATCCGTACGAATGAATGACAGATTGGGTCGCACGTGAAAATAGAGCCGGCTGGACATCGCACGGTACGAGTAGTTTTATTACTCGTGGCTCGAACTGTCGCCGTACAAAACAACCTGCTGTGATAGTGATAGAACGACCACGTACTGATGTAATGGGATTCGCTATTGTAATGTGAACTGGCTACCGAATTGATATCTTGTGGATGGGATGGAAAACTATTATCGAATTGTATGTTAAACAAACGCTTTATTCTTATATTAAAACTAAAAAATCGTATTATCATAAATTTACTTTTCAGTAAACGAAACGTCGGGAGTATGTAGGTTTTACAATAATAAAATACGCGTAAATTGCGCTTCATTTAAATGAATACTCGCGAAAGTCTTGATCTCATTACTATTGCTAATAGCAATATTATAATATACTTGGAAGGTAATAGAACACAAAACGACGAATAAAATATAAAAATATCATATTAATATAGTGCTATGATTTTTTACCAACACTTATATTTTCTTAGATTGTTAGCTAAAAGAACATGAGATGAATCAATAAAGAGTGTAACCAGAAAAAGTAAAATATGCATTGAGAATTGAGATAAAGATTAAGACTTTCGACTCATTTCTTCAATATTGTCACTTCTCACGTTTGAGTGATTTCAGATTTCAAGCGTTTCGAAAAATAAAACGTATATGAAAATAAGTAAATTAGGAATGAGGTTGTGTGGAAATCTTAGTAGTCAAGTATATGTCCAAAGTAACTCAAATTTCTATTCCAAGTAATTTAGACCATGATTTTATTATTCAAATAAAGTAAAAGAAAAAATATTTTTATTACGAGGAATATGAATGGGTAAAAACTTAATATCATAATGAAATTGATATTCTTGGTTGAAATAGCAAGAGTTATCGTATACTGTACTTATATCGAGATTGCTGAGTTATCATTAAATACTTGAACTATTATGACGTGTAAAATGGAGAAGCTATAGAAGAATTATTGTATTAATTTTAGATAACATTTAAACTTTTCATATAACTTCCTTCACAGCTGAAACTTTGTAACATAAACCAAGAGGTTAAACATCATCCCATGATAACCACCATGTACATTGTCAATTTTTTAAATAAATCTACGTCTGAAATGAAAAAGTAATTGAAAAGCCTAAAGAAGATTTTTTTTAATAGTAGTTTAATTGTTTATTAGGTACGTTATGCTAAAAAAATTTAAGAAAGGGAGAACTAAGTAGGATTAAATCGAAGAATCCTAATTTAACCAAACAAAATTATTGTAATAATTTTAAAGAGTTATTTTAATCGATATTAGCAATATATATAGTCATTTGGATATGAACATTGTAATTCATAATTTTGAATCTATGAAGTTTCTCTTTCTGTAGTGTAGATATTTAACAATATATACAAATAATTGATCTATGAGTTAAAAACTCACCATCTTTGTTCATGTTAGCCTGAAAGCATTTAGCGAGTCTGCAGGCTCGGCACTGGTTCCTATGAGTCTTATCTACTGGACAGCGACCTTTCATCTCACCACCAGCCTTGCAAGTGTACACACGATTCCTGTGGATAGACCGCTTGAAGAATCCTGAACAACCTGCCATCATAACAAACAGTAAGTTATTCTTCTATAAGTTCTAAGATTCTCGCGAGTCTTATTCATTTAAATGAAACTAATATTTTTTGGATATACTGTCGCGTAGTACATCGGAAAAATATTAGTTTAATTTTAGTTATTCCTTTATTATTATAAATGTACCTAAAAATGTGAAATCAAGCCATCAGAAAATTTAAATGATTTGAAATACATTTTGTATTTTGATAGAAATATTGTTGGACCAAAGCTACCCAAGAAAAGACTTAACCATTTTCTTATAAAACTTTGATGTGGGACGACTTAATAGTGAGAGTTAACTTTATCGAGTTTAAAATTTAGAACCGTTTACAGAAAGTAGTTCAGTCTGAGGGTGAATGTGAAATGTTTTATGGGAATTCTTACCATCACAACTGTAAATGCCATAATGTTTTCCAGAGCTTCTATCACCGCACACGTTACATGGGATGTCCAGCAACCTATCACCTGTAAACATTATATAATATTTAATCTATTATTAAAACTTAATGCTGACATTTTTTGACATATTTCCAATCTTTTTTTTGCAACTCTATGTGACTGGTGGTCAAAAGCCATTTATTTTTGACAGCTTATCCTAAATTTTAAAAAAACTTGACGTTTTCCTCTCCAGGTTTTTTTTATCTAGGGAGATCTGATGGCGAAAAATAGTAAAGTCTCTTACAATAGTAAACTCCTTAGTATACGTTAGACACAAGCATTTAGAGAGTATAGTAGTAGAGAGTATAGTAGTATAGTATAGCCCTTTCACGGCTCTGTTCAACTTTAACAGTACGTTAAAAGAAAACTTCCCAGATGATCACCTTCATTGCAGCCTGGGCCAAATAATATTGTAAGCATGTCTTTTAGACAAAGAAATAAAGTTATTCCTCACGTTAGTTTGACATACAATCTTTCTTTCATCAAAACGCCTCGATTAAGAATGTATGTATATTGTTTGCTCCGAGCCGGAAAATCGCTACATTTTAACAACTACATATTACTTCTTAAAACTAAATGGGAGTGGTAGTTATGAGAAATGTTAAAATTATTTTTTAAAACTGTTTGCCAATATAGCATTGTTGTAAATGAGTGAATACAAAATAATTTACTTAGGAATAATGTAAAATTTATAAACCGATAAAGACAAAATTTTAATAAAAACGAGGTACTAGAATTGCATAGTAGGTACTACATTTTTTCACAATGTAAACGAAATAACATAATGACAATAAAATATTATATACATAAGTATGTAGATAGTTGTAAAATAGAAATTATGAATACTTGAGGTTTAATTACATGCAATTATTATAATAGCGAATACGCTTATAAATAAGCATAATAAATGAACTCATTGATTTCTTAACTTTTATTTTCGTTTATAAATAAATAAAAATGTAAGATAGTTTGGCTCCATAATAATCTAAAACCTTTATAATTTATATATTATTTTTGAACTCAGGTTTTCACAATTATTTATTTTACGTTTGTTTGTACATGATCATTGTTTCTTAAACGTCTGAAACCTTTAAGCGTGATTCAGTCTTCCCTTAACCAAAATAGATTAGTCAGATTACACCAATCTCGCTAATAACGTGGTGTTTTTGTTACGTTTACTGAAACCTTCCCCCTTCAGCGGCCCTTTTCCTTAAAGCTTATAATAGATATTGTTACACCGTAACTTGAAAGGGGAAACAGAATTTCGAGTTACATTTAGTGTAATTATTACCGATTCCTTTGGTTAGATTTTTTTTTTACTATTTAAAAAAAATCAAGTTAATTATTTTGAATATAAACATACATTTGAGCAATTAAGAATACCATAATATTGATGAAAGGAATGAAAATTTGTTGCAAATATATAAACGGTGTAATAGAGATCCTTATAATGCGGAGAATCCTTTTCAAGGAGATCTTCTTTAATTTTTTACTGAAATGGACTTAAACGACTTTGCCGTTCGTCTTTTAGGCCTTCAAGAAAAGCCGTGAAGTGTCGTAATTATCTTTTTAAATGTTCAAATTGAGCGAAGTGGAAACTTTATATATGTATATCGTCTATTTCTTTATATTGTTAACATTAATTTTGCACTTTTGCACAATTATATATCTCAAATAACTAAAATTTTTTTTAAAATATTTCTATATCATAATAAAAAAAGTGATATTTATAAAAAAAATAGGATATATGATCCGAGATGAATAATTTTGGATAGTAGTTACGATTTTGTTGCGAATACTGAAATTTTCAAATAAATAGAAACTGTCATATTAATAATATTTATTTGATTAAAATAGAATTAATTAGTTTATCTGTATAGTCAATTTGTTACTAAATGAAAAGACGTTACTTTTTTATTTATAATGTAATAAATAATGTGTTTTTTTAATTAATTCACTTCAATATTTATATTATTCTATCATAGAAATATAAAAAACATTGTATCTCAAATAAATTTCAAACATTGTGTCTCATTGCACGTTTTCATAAAATAATTAAAACAGTGTCAACCTTTTTGGGCTAAAAAACTCTTTTATATTGATTTACCTTAAAAAACATTTGATTTACCTTTACGTTTCCAATTTCACATTTATTCAAAAAAATATTGTTAAACACAAGTATGACTCCTGAATTACAATTTTAATAAAAACGTTACACTTAATTTTTCAGCAAATTTAATGTATAAAATGCGTCGAATAAAAGGATATTTTAAAATAATACAAGCATAATACGAACACCCAAGCAAACTATAAACCTTATTAATGATTCCTTGGGTTCAATGCAGTACAAAAGTTATCTGCTTCAAATCCACCCAACTACAGTTTAACTTAAATAAAATAAGTACCGTGTTTAGAGGATATTTATAAAATGAACAAATCTTACAACAAAATGATTCTCTGGTTTATGCCGGCAAAAGATACAAGTTTTTATCTAAATAATTATTTTTAAGACATCGATTTATATATTTCGGGTTTTTAGTATGAGGACAAAAATAAAAACAGACACTAAAACCTTTTTTCACTCGTAAATCTTCGCAAGAAATAGTTTAAAAGTCGTTATATATTTATAAAACACTGAATACTGTATGAGTATAATTTAAAAGTGCCAACTTATTCTAAGGTTACGTTGTTATTGAACAGAAAAAGTTATAACACAATTGTAAAGCAGTTAAAAGTAGAGCATTTGTAATGTTGAACTGATTATGGAGTCCTAATATTAGGATAATCTGAATTTATATACACATAAACGTGAAGCGAGGGGTCGTATGTGTTAATGCAGCGATGCGTAAGGCCCTGTGCATCGAACTCCACATAATACGCGACAAAATACGATAGTCGTGTGAAATGACACACTCTGTAATTCGCCACAAATTCATTGATATTGTCCTTGTTTTGATCGCTTCAGTTCTTTAGAATTGGAACTTTTGAACTACATAGAAAGACTAATAAAATCAAACAATTTTAAATAATTACTACAGTAATATGCTAAGCACAAGTTTGCAATATCATACGACTTTTGAAGCGTTTTCTGTTTCTCATTTGATGACTCAATTTCTACTATACGACTATATGCAAACATTTATGAATGATACTTAAACATGAAACTCTGTTTTTTCGCCGATGCCAACGTAAACTAAGCGTACAGTATGCTTAGTCTAAGTTGGCATCGTCACGCCATATACTGAGCGTTGAAAATTTTTAATTGATAAATCTTTATACTTTATGTTATTATGTTAGTAAGTAGGGTGACGAGGCAGACTTGGACTATCTGTACTACATTGTTTGTTCTTCAATAACCGTATCTTAAATTAATATAATATTACCGTAACTTAAATTAATATAATATTGTGGTTTTCTGTACGTTCTTAGTAATCGCTTTGTTTAAATTTGAATCAGATATTTTGTCAGTTCTCCCAATAAATAATCTGTTACAGTGACAGCCTCGAAAAAGTCGCAGTTAGTACCAATGGGAAAACTCTAACTTTACTAAATTCACTTGAGAAACTCTTGATAGATTATAGATTTAAAATTACCTCACACATAACTGCTCTATTATCACTAATTAATTACCATTACTAAAACAGTGCACCTTAATTGACGTATCAAATACAAGTTATGAACAATACTTACACTTTCTTCTGAAAGCATTTGGATATATGAACTTATAAAGAGACCTCTAATAGAAATTTTGGTACCAAAATAGTGTATTTAAATTATTTAACACTGGGAGAAAAATAATTAACAGTAGAAAAGGAAGAAGTTGATATCAAGAGCTGCCGTCGCTGAAATAAAGGTAACTTGCGTGGGTACTATTAAACATACAAAGAAATACAGTGAGATGGTATTAGAGTTGAAAGAAAGAAAAATGTTTTGTATTTTATACTAAAATAGTTTTGCTTGAAAATAATTCCTATAACATATGCCCTACGGCAAAGTTAATGCAAGTATAAATAGCTACGGTTCTAAAAACTGGTAATAATTTGCCGACGGAAGTATACAGAAGCATAGGCGGTAATAGAACATATTTTTTACTTAATTAATTTGAAAATATTTATACTTCATTCAGATAAAATGAAGGTTGGCTTAAATTAAAATTTACATAGTATTCGATTTTATACTTGATATTTTTGAAATTGCTCCCTATTTCTAAATGAAAATTTAATGTCAAAGTATAGCTACATATTAATTATAAAATTCCTTTAAACTAAAATCGAGTGTTACAATGTTGTATTCTAATCCGGACACAAATTGTCTTTGTTGATTTACCCAACTTTAAGATGTGGGACGTTGAATGACTCTACAATTTAGGGAATATTTATACTTGAACTTACAACTACAGGGTGTAAAGACAATATTGCTTTTAACGAAGGAATAATCAAAGATAATAATTCATAAAAGTATTTACAAATGTAACAGATTCAGTAATTCTTCGTCAAATTAATTAAATATTTAGTACTTAGGTATAAAGAATCGCAGGTGTATACTTATTTAAAATTCTTGAAATCTTCTTTAATGCATGTAAAATATTGTTCACTGAGTTTAAAAGCAAGTTTGACTTCCAAAGAATATATTGCTTATTCTGTATAATGTCAATTGAAATTTTGATCACACTGTATTTCCTTACAGTTTTGCATGAGCGTAAATTCACCAAGTTTTGGGTTCCTCCCTAAGTTACATTCGGGGATGTAGATTTGTTGCGTTTTAATGATCTCACTTTGTTGTTAATTTTACTTCTGTCTGCTACAAAAGATGTTAAACTTACATTTAATATATCTTAATTGTTAATCCAAAATATTTAAGTAATATTAATTTTTATTTTGATTTCGATAATGTTGTTGTCATTTATATTTTGCGAATCGATCTCTGTTTGTCTTGAATTATTTCGTTTTTTAAATAAAAAAGTAAAGCTTTAAAATCGTGTTAATAGATAGACAAAAATGTTTCTACCCTCATTGATAATAAACTAG